CATGTCCTGTAAAACCCCAAACAAGTGGCAATTAGTAATGTTAACAGCAAATGCAAATGTCCAGGTGGCAGAGCAGTTCCCTTACCTGATATGGCAGCTGGTATTCCTCAGGCTCGTAGAGATCAGGTACATAGCAACGGCGCGTGAGCTCCCAGAACACGAGCCCCAGACTGTACATGTCAGCCTGTTTGTAGGCCTCGAAAGAGGACTGGCGCAAACTATTATCCAATACTTCTGGCGCCATGTAACGCTTGGTACCGACTCGCTCTGGGTTGTAAGCGACATCCAGGTGGCCAGAAACGGAGTCCAGCTTCACCGCGAATCCCAGATCTCCGATGCAACATTCGCCATCATCCTTAACAAGGATGTTGCGCGATTTAAGATCCCGATGAGCAATCGCCGGCTTGCCCTGAATAAGAATAAAAAGTAAGTGTTGCAACGATAAAACTACAATGGCTCGTAAATAAAGTGAAACGGAAAGAACTATTCTTCAGAGTCTTAGTGGCCTGTCGGTAAATAGTGGGGCCATCAATTCTGGAATAGAACGCCATGACACACAAAGTACAGGTCTCCAGGCAACCTTTTAGCACACCCGCAAATTCAACGCACATGCAAATATGCCATAGGTATCCGTGAAAAAGACTACTATCAAACAGCTACATTAGCTGTTCGAGACCTTTGTTTTGCGTTCTAATTTCCACTGACATGCAGTTAGGATAAAGAACGGAGACAGCGCTGGACGTTTTAAGAGAATTTTAGTATTTAAACGTCCAGGTTGCAATGCATTTAGAATCGCAGAACGGAACTTGGAAGTAGGCCAGGAGGATGAAAATTGTTCCATAATGAGTGCTGTCATTTACGGCAGACCAATTATCAGTATCCGTAAAGGGCGTGCATAAGGTAGCATAGTGTTCCAATATTTTCACTAATGTTATTCTGAATAAGGTCGAAGGATGTGGTAATGCCTCAGTAGGAAACTACAGCACTTGTAAAAAAGACAAATTCTCAGAAGGCTCTCCATTTGATGCGAAGGCAACATTTGTATGAAAAAACATCCCATATTGCAACGCATAACTGAGCATGAAGCATCTAACTACAGTAGATAACAAGAATACTTGGAGGATATTCCCTCTAAGGAAATATTCTTATGTTCATTCCATATAATATACGCGGTTGTTCGCATGGATAGGCTTTATGCACCCATTCTCACTTGACACGGATATTTAGCAAATCCAAGCAAAATCCTGTTACCACTAATACGTCGTTCCTGTTATCATTTAACTGAAGTTAGTATATCATAAATTGATAGTTTTTATCGAGACATTTGATCCGTTGTCAATTGAGTTAAGGCGTGTATCGCGAGTTCCCTCAAAAACATTTAAAAACAGTTGGTTACCAGTTAGGCCTGCCCATTTACGGGAGAAACAAAGAAGAATAGATCAGTCCAAGTAATGCAATGTTAGTGTTCATAAGCATCCACAACATTGTGTCGGTAGTAGGCCACCCCATTCTACCATCGTTGCTCTCTCCCAAGCCTATCCCACTGTTGCAGCATTGTGGCGTATCGAAAAATCAGACTTGAGACTGGAGGTCGAGCCCAATTGGAAGTTTTAGTTAGATAGCTAAAGGCATGGCGGCACCAAGTATTTGACTCATTAGGATTCCACGGGTCAGGGAGCACTGATAACATTTTGGAATCTCGTTTCATGGTGGCGGTGCTGGCGGCTGAGTCAACCTACACAGTTCAATGCAATCGGAAAGTACTACCGTAAAATTACTACGCTAATGTGGTAAAAATATATGTCAAGGAATAATTTTGAAATGTTACTATGCTAATATTGCTCAGTTTTGGGTGGCCAGGTATAACATACTTCTAGAACTCATGTTGTTGTGTTTTCGCTATTTCCGCTTTTCTCCGAGAAAATAGTTATTTCTAATCAATGAAACAGTGCTTGAGCGGCTTTTTTCATTTAACTGGAGGTTGTCCATTAGTAGTTCGGCCTACTGGTGGATGCGTTTGGACTGCTTGGTGATTGTTCTTCTATTGAGGCCTGCTTCATGAAGTAGATCGAGTATAAGCACACACACACACACACACACCCAAAAAGGGACAGAATACATACGGACAGGCACATGCTGGCGATGGAGAAATAGTGCAAAACGCAGGCGCACCCATTACGGACCTGACACCCGTTTGATTGATACTCTCTCGATGTGTTCGCTGTTACTATATTAGCAGTCGTGCGCAGAGCTGCTGGCAAAGCACCAAAAGGAGCGCCTCGGCGTT